CGGGAATGGGTGGAAGAAGGGGATATTCGGGCCCCTTTTCACGTGCGGGCGTTCCACAAGAAGTTCCCGGACAAACCTGGAGGTCTCCCGGGGAAACCAGGAGGTCTCCCGCCCAACCCTGGAGACGGTGGGTGAGTGGTATTTTCAGGTGGGCAGTATGTCAGCTAGCTGCCATTTCTCTGGGACGCGTCCCGTCCCTATTCCTGCCCGTCCTCCCGTCCCTCCCCTTGTTGTTCTCTTCTGGTATGCTTCTGTAACTGCCAAGTTTCTCCTGCAGGTGGATGACGGAGTGTTATGTCTTGTTGCCTGGGCTTAATTAGATTTCCCGTGTGAACTCAACTTGTGTTTATGAAATTGGCTGTTGTGGTTCTCAGGCTGCTTCGCGCCTTTTCTAATCAGCTCCCTTACGAGGGAAATGTACCCATTGGGTTGACCAAGTTTGAAGTTCCTATATTACTTTGCCCCTGTGTATTGTCGTCATTCTGAACAATCTCTGTATGTTCATGACTAACCATGCTTTGGAAATAAATCTTACTTCTTTGGAACGTGGGTTTGTTCTCCTGACTTGGGATCTGACATTTCTCCAACAAAAGAATTCCCTACTTTGGAGAGCAATGCACATCAAGCAGGCTTGGACCTTTGTAGGAACAATCCAAGGGAAGGTTAATAGACATCTGGCTTACATGAAGACAGGCTTTCCCTTTCCACACCTGGCTAATTGAGGCACAAATTCCCCATGTGAAAGAAAGAAGAGAGTCCTAGGTTTCTGAAGCAGTAAAAAGTTGAGGCTTGTATTGCATTTGTGCCCGTAGGAGAAATATGTAATGATGGAAGAGATCCTAAGTGCAGTTGTGCTGTGTTTATCTGGGCAGATGTTAACCTTTATAGCCATAACAGTGCCTATAGGTTCTTTAGAAATAATTTGCTGGTTATACTTTTAAGTCTGAATGAGGCTGTATCTGAAATCTGATGTATCAGATTATTTAATATTTGTGCATACGAGCTTGACCCTAGCTTTTTTTTCTTGTCTTCCCTTTTTTTGTGCAGTGTCTTCTTGAACTTCAGAGTGAAGCAACTTTTATGTGGAGTACAGAACTGGACAGTGTTGTAACTCTGTGCTTTAAGTCCTTTGAAGGGTCCAATTATGATGTACGAATTGCTGTTTCTAAGCTTTTAGGCAATGTGTTGGTTAGTGCTGTAACATCAAAACAAGGTACAGGTAAGATGCTTTTTGTTTCATTTAAAAATGTGTTCTGTCCTTAAGGTAACCAAGAAACTGTTCTGTTGCAGTGTGTATTGTAACGCAGAGTAGTTCAAATGAGGTTTCTGGTTGACTCAAGAATTAATAGAATAAAGGTTGTTTCACAAGTGACCATTTCCCTGTGTTCATGTAGGAAAAAACAATAGGGTAAGGAGATAAGATATGTTTGTTGCATGGGGGTGATTATTGGTTGACAACTGAACTAGTTGTGAATGTCCTCCAAAATATATACACATTGTTTTGTGATATTGTACAGTGATGTACACAGATTCCCCCCCCCCCATATATTTAGGAAAGCGTGCTTCTGTGAAGCAGTCCTGTGTTCTTACTGCATATTTGTGCAGGTGAAAAATTTAAAAGATATATATTTTTAATCTCCTCCTCCTCCAATAATGTGGGTATGATTTACAAAAATGAGTTGGCAGCATTGGCATTATAAATGGTATGTCACCCCTGTGGATTGACAGACAATAGTTATTTGTTTGTTTATTTACATTATAGTCTGCTTTTCACACTGAAACTCAGGGTGGATTACACAGTGTAAGTCAATACAACCAACAGGATGGGACTTCTAAGAAGCAATCTCTCTATATAATAATTCTGTTTTGGTCATGGACTCTCCTGAACATTCCACACACTCCCAAATCAGTTGGTTCCCTGATCTGTCACTCAGAAGTTGTCCCTATCCACTGGCTGAGTTGCCTGAGTCTCACCTCCAATATTCTAAACAGTTTGCTGTTCCTCCCCCCCCAATAGCCAGTCGGAACTCAGAGGTCATTTGCATATGTGGCCTGATTGGCCTTAGCCTCTAACATTTTAAACAGTTTGTTGTTGCTGTTGGGAGTAATTGTGTCCTGAAGTAAAATACATATCCCAATCTTCCCTTAAACGATCACTGGAGTTGCCAATCTCCCTGTGAGGCCTGGCGATCTCCCAGAAATCACCATAAGAACATAAGAACATAAGAGATGCCAATGTTGGATCAGGCCAAAGGCCCATCCAGTCCAACACTCTGTATCACACAGTGGCCAGAAATACCAGTGCCATCAGGAGGTCCACCAGTGGGGCCAGGACATTAGAAGCCCTACTACTGTTGGCCCCCCCAAGCACCAAGATGACAGAGCATCACTTGCCCCAGAGTCCCTATCTATACCTTGTGGCTAATAGCCACTGATGGACCTCTGCTCCATATGCTTATCTAATTCCCTTTTGAAGCCGTCCATGCTTGTAGCACCCACCACTTCCTGTGGCAGTGAATTCCAAGTGTTAATCACTCTTTGGGTGAAGAAGGACGTCCT